GGACCCTCTCCAACAGCTCCCTGTCTTTCTTGTACTGGGGGCTCCAGACCTGGATGCAGTGCTGCAGATGGAGCCCTATGAGGGCAGAGCAGAGAGGGACAATCACCTCCCTGTCCCTGCTGGCCACCCCTCTTCTGGTGGAGTCCAGGATACCATTGGCCTTCCAAGCTACAAGAGCACACTGCTGGCTCATGGTCAGTTTTTCATCTACCAGGACCTCCAGCTTCTCCTCTGCAGGGCTGTTGTCAAGGACTGCTCCTTCCAGTCTAGATATATAGATACTTCCAGTCCAGTATAGATGCCTGGGATTCCTCCAGCCCTGTGCCTTTGCTGTGCTGAAGCTCATTAGGTTACTTGGGCCCACCTTTCCAGTCTGTTGAGGTCCCTCTGAATGACATCCCTTCCTTCCAGTATTTCAACCACACCACTCAGCTTGGTGTCATGCATACTGGATGATGACATTGGATAGGGATGCCATGCTGGTAATGGAACATGTTGTCCATCTGTTTTACAGTGGAGAGTGCATATAGTCAACATTCAGTTGATTTTTTTTAATTTTTGTTTATGTTGTTATTACTTGTTAATTAACAATCTCACCCTGTGTCTGTGAGCACCACTGTGGCCTTTGCTCCACACTTTACCCATACCTTGGCACATCAGCCAAAATACAAAACTGCTTCTTACCATGGGATGGTGGGGAGATAATAAATGGTCAGCTATCAGACCTTATCATCTTCATCCCTGCTAAAAGTAAAATAGAACCTAAACCCTTCCCAGCAGCTTGTTTTGAATGGATGGTTTCTGTATTCACTAAGGCTGGTCGTATGTTTTTGTATTTCAGTTTTTCTTTTCAATTTCAGTTCCAGTAGAAACAAAAGAAGACACAGCACTAGAAAACAAAGAGCTCCCTTCAGAGCAGTGCGTTACTGCTGTGGATGTCCCTGCAATGGAGCAGCAGAAGGAGGAGACTGAGCAGAACCACATCCAGCACACGGAGCCCCCGCAAGAAGCAGCCCTGCAAGAGCCTGCAGGTAGAACATAAACAGCACTTTGCTTTTAGGAAGGAAATTCCTTTGGGAGCTGCTCACCTTCTCCCACTGACTGCTCTGCCACCTGAGCAAGCAAAAAAGGTTTTGCACCAATGAGCTGTGCGGTTTCTTTGCATCCCTCAGAGGTTCTGCTTGCACTCTGCCTCTGTTTGCTGTGCTCCCTCTCTTTTCCCCTCCTTGTTCATGGCACCAAAAGCCCACATGTGGCTGCTGCTACTGATTTATCACCAGTACTGTCTTAGATCTGTTGTAGAATAGAGGAACTTGCCATCTTTTTGCCATTACCACCGTTTTTTTTTAGGGTTTGTTTTTTTTTTTTTGGCATTAAATGAACCATTAATTCTTATTGCAATACTCCCAGTGAAGACCTCCTTCCAAATTGGATTTTATAATTAACCAGAGGAGAAGGTGATTTTTTCCCTGCTCCACCAACGCAGCCCCTCCAGTGAGCCATCACTGCTTGCATGTGTGGCTGGAGGCTGACTTGTGGCCCGGGGCTCGCTGGCAGATGATGGATGCTCCCTTGGAATCAGTGGCTGTAGCTAAGGAGACCCGGTGCTGCTTAGAGCTGAGCACAACAGATGATTCTGATGCACTGTGGGTGCTGGGGCCGTAGCTCCTTGCAGCCCTGCCCCCCCACGCTCCTCTTCCCACCAAAGCTCTATTTTTACATTATGGAAGGCTGCCCTTTAGAGAGATAAAAAGTCTATCTGTGATCTTGTGCTGAGACAACGTAGGTCCTTAATGCACTTCTGACAAGAGTTAAGGTGTCCTTACAGGAACTAATGCTCCTCAGTGGGGTCAGAGTTATTGGGAGTTGTGCATTTTTAAATAGCATCGACGAGTTTATCGGTAACAGTTTAAATTGTTTGGTGTATGAATGCCTTTCCCAGCCCCACCGAGGACTTCGACCTCCTGCTGGAGAGCTGAAGTCACGTTTGCAACTGTGCCTCTGTATTTGATTGCAGCCAATGGTCGCTTTGATGTTTGAGCAGGCTTCCTGTATTCCAGGTCCGCCTCCTGCACAAACGAGGCAAGCTAACAAACCGAGCGGCCGCGGGGTTGGCCGAGCACAGCCTGCCCTGCTGCCCACTGCAGATGGAGCAGAGGAGCGTCCCGTAGGTCCCCCTCCGCAGAAGAGCTCTGAGCCTGGAGCAGAGCAGTGCTGTGCTGCAGAGCTGCCGCGCGCTGCCGGAGCTGCCCTGCACAGCACATCTGCACCCAGGAGGGCAGCAGAGCCTCTCCCAGAGCTCACGCAGAGCTGCAGAGATGCGCCGCGGGAGAGCTGGGATATGGAAGGTGCTCTGGCTATGGGCAAGAAAAAGAAAAAGAAACCGAAACAAAGGAGAAACCAGCTGCCGAGAGCCGTGGAGTTCTGGGATGAGAACACGGCAGTCTGCAGAGCTCCTAAGAGTTCTCCGTTGGCTGTTGAGTTGCAAAAAGCAGCTGTTGGGCCCAGCGTGCATGCAGAGCTGTTGGTTGCCTCAGGAAACAGAGCTTCAGACGTGCCAAAGGATGCTGCAGTAATAACTGGGAGTCACATCGCGGATGATCCAAGCGGCCGTGTAATGCCAGCGCTGGGCACCAGGAGCAGCGCGCCGTTCAAATCGGAGAAAAATAGAGACATCATGAGAGCAGAGGAAATGGGAGGTGACAGCTCGATGGTGCAATGCGAAGGGAAAGGAAAGGTGCCCTCAGAGCAGAGAGGAGTGGCTGAGGTGGGGGAGCCCATAGCAGCAGAGGTGCCAGCCATGTCTGTGGGAAGGTTTCCTGATAGAAATGGGAAGAGGGAGGGCAGGGAGCCAGCGTGGGCTGACCTGAAGGCATCTCCTTCTGCAGCCATCGATATAAGCAAGGTAGAAACTCCTGCAGAGATGAAACCTTCCCAGATTCTCCCTTCTGATAAAGGTAAGGATGCTAAGGGTGTACCTCCCAAGCACAAAGCACCCGGTGACAGCAGCTGCGAGCTTCAGGCTCCCAGTGGGTCACTGGGAGAAGCAGCACTGGAGAGTGGTGAGCTAAACAAAGAGCTGAGCAATGGATCCTTCCGAGCACCTCCTCCAGCCCCATCCAGCCTGCTTCCCGACAAGCCAAGGGCAGCAGATGGAGCTAAGCTGGCATCCCCCAGTGAGCACGGGGCCGTTGGCTTAAGTGCTTCTGAGGGAGTATTGAAGACCCCAGATACCACCCAAGTGTCTGTTATGCCATTAATGGCTCAGAACCCTGAGGAAGGCATCGCTCTGCAGAACAGGAAGGCTGATGGTTCTGCTGAGCTGCCAGCTCAAATGGAAGGCAGAGCTGCTCCTGCTGAGGCAGCACGCAGAGGTACAGCAGTGTATTCCCCTGACAGAAACAAAGGGAATGGGTTTATTGCAGGGGAGCAGCAGACTGGAAGAGACCTCGGTGTTGCACACGGGATGGACAGACCTAAAAAAAAGCGCAGTGAAGGGAAAGGCAGAAAAGTGAGAGGATTCTCTGAGCTGGGTCTGGAGGATGCGGGCGCTGATGGAGTGAGGATGGGGGAGGTGATGAGGGAAAGGCCTTTCCCTGATAGAGGCAGGGAGGGAGGTTATTCTGCCAGGGAACACTCATCAGCAGACAAGCCCAAAAAGAGGGGTAGTGATGGGAGGAGTAAAAAAGGAGAAAAAAGCTTTTTCCAGGAGCCTTTTGTGGAGGGTAAGATGGGCATTAATAGCTCTCCTGACAGAGCTGGTACAGCTCAGGAGGTCAGCAGTGAGAGGGGCTGTGTCACTGCTGTGTGCTTCCAGGAGAACACATTGGATGTAACTGCAGCACAAAGACCCATTGAGAGAGTAACAGAGGAGCCCAGAGAAAATGCTGGGAAATGGGAGATGGCTGAGCTGGGGGCTTTGGGCCAACAGTTCCTTCCAGCGGGTAGGAGAGATGATACAAAGCATCTCGCCGTGGCTGACACCATCAGCACAACAAAGGAGGTCAATGTTGTGGGTGAGGGCAGAGAGGCTGGAGATGCTTCTCCAGGTGGATTGGTTGGGATGGGTTCTGATGCAGACAAACGTAGGAAAAGGAGTAGTGATGGGAAAAGGAAAAGGAGTGAGAAAGGTCCTTCTGGGCTGACAGCTGTCCTGGACACCGGGGTGGGAGCTCTTCCAAGCAAAGAGAAGAGCAATGGAGAAATGAAGGAAATGGCCTCTGGGAAGGAGAAGGTGCCTGGTTCTGAAAGAGGAATTTTGCTGGAGAACGTGACAGCTGTAACAAAGGAGGTGTTGGAAAAGCCTAAAGGAGAGGGTAGAAGTTCCTCTCATCAGCCAGCTCTTTCAGGCCATAAAACAGAGCCAGAAATAGGCAGTGCTAATGAAACATGGCCCAGTGCTAAGTGTAAGGAGACAGATGTTCATACAGCAGAGCACAGGGCAGACACGGGGATGGCAGGTGGTCCCACCACGGAGATGGAGGCAGACAGACATGAGGAAAAAGGCAGAGGGGTGAAAGGCAGAGAGGCTGAGGGTGGCCGTGGGCAGTCTGTAGCACCAGGTCTGGGTATAATCCCTGCTGTGGGTGGAGAGGTGGGAAATGCTCAACAAATTCAGTCTAAAGAGAACAATTTCAGTGCTTCAGTAAGTCTGCTAGGTGACACAAGTGATGCTACTAAAGCACAAGCTGCTGCTGTACCTCTGGAGCCAGAGAAGCTGAGCACAAGGGATAAAGAGAGATGCCAAGGGGCAGCAGTTGGCCCAGAGCTCCTCCTGGAGCCCAGCACAGGAGCAGAGTCGTGTCCTCCTCCTGGCAGCAGAGCAGTCAGCCTTCCTGGTGCAGAGCATCCTGCAGAGGTGGGTCACAGCTCAGCCACTGAGAGATCTAAAAAGAGAGGTAGCGAGGGAGGAGGTAAAAAGCCCAAAGCTGGCCCTGAGCAGCCACCCATGGGGCCTGAGATGGAGCTTGGGATGGAAGAAATGGGCTTTGTGGATGAGAACAGAAATATCAGTTTCCCCATCGGCTCTCAAATGCTTTGGGATAATCAGGGAAACCACATGGAGCCCTTGGCCTGGGGGGCACATGGGGGGCTGCCTTCAGCTGGAGTGGCAGTGGAGGGGAGCAGCAAGGAGCCTGGATCCAGCAATGGGAAGGAGGTGTGCAGCCAAACGCTGCCTGTGCATCCCACGGCTGTGGGGCACGAAGAGCCTGGGAAAGAGGGGCCAAAGAAAGGGGAGGATGGAGCCAAAGAAACCACTGCCCAGGGCGGGTTGGAGGCGGATGGACCGCTTTCTTCTGGTCGTTCAGCACAGCAAGGCGTTCAGTCAAGAAAGGATGAAGTTCTGCTTTCTCCTGCGGTGAAGGTGGATGATAGAGGGACTGATAAAAAGCAAAGCAGTGCCAGCACTGCCTCTGCCCTTCCCCAGGAGGAGGTGGGCGCACAGCACCGCCCCACACCCGGCAGTGCCCGAGGGGTGGGGGGAGAAGGAGGGGTCCCCTCTGGGGAGAAAGGTGCTGTGGCAGTTGGGAGCGGAGCATTGCAGGCTGCAGTGGAAGGGCTGATGGGGAAGGACAGCGAGGGGAGCGGCGCGGGTGCAGCCATGGAGGGCGCCCAGCACCCGTGTGGGTCGGGAGGTGAAGCGGAGGCGGCCGGTGTGGGTCTGACTGCTGCCCCAACATCCCACACCCACCCCGAGGACGGCAGCGATGTGCGGCGCCGAACCGCAGAAGGCGATGCTGGAGGAGCCCACCCTGCTCAGGAAAAGGAGGGAGCTGACCCAAGGGCGGCCCCGGAGGCAAAGAAGGAGCGAGCGAAAGGCGCGGAGCAGCTGAAGGGCTACATGAGACCCACCAAGGCCAGAGGGCTGCCCGCGCTGCCGGCCCGGCCCGCTGCTCCGGAGGGGGAGAAGCAGAGGCAGCTGAGAGGCAGCGCTGTGAGCCGGCCCAGGCAAGGCAAAGGTGTGTGCGTGTGATGGGCTGGCAGCAAAACCCGGAGCTTGCGTGCGAGCATCGCTGCTCGGCGGCATGACCACGTCACCCTAATCCTCGGTGGCACCAGCGAGCGGGGCATGAGCGGTGTGTTGGCTGATCCTAAAAGGCTGCTGGTTCTGCTTGCCTGGCGCACAGTGCTAATTCCCAAACCTTAAAAGATTCACAGTTTGGTCTGAGTTCCAGAACTAGATGATTTTTTAATTCGTTCCAAGTTGATTTCCGTATAAATTTTGTAGCACTCTGAATTTCGAAGCAAACTTGCACTTCTCGGTGTTAAGTTCCATTAGCTTCTCCTCATCGGAGACCAAAAGTGGCATCCGTGTGGGATGCTGCAGTGAACCATCGCCGTCACTGCGCAGCGTCGGTGCCACCAAAGGGCAGGAGCTGCATATTCCCACGGCAGGGAACGTTCCCTATCGCTGTCACGTTATGGGTTTGGTTTTAATGCCGCTCCGGGCCAAGCGCAGCCATCTGCTCCCCTCCTGCAGCTGGTCTGTGGCTTTGCCTTAAGGCACCTTGAGCATCTTTGTACAAAGCACACCTCCTGCCAGAGCAACCACTGTGCTGGAGCAGAGCAGAACAGCAGAACCCCGCGCTGATGGGCTTTGGGACTCTCCGCTGAGGATGGACTGGAGGGGTTGGTGCTGTTTGCCTGGCTGCTGACCAAGGAACAGATGGCATTAATTTCATAGAGTGAAAGGAAGTTCCTGGGAACTTCAGGATGGAGACTGTAGTCATGATACAGATGGTATGTCAAATAACACCCTGGCTTTTCTGCTCAGCCCGAGCCTTCCTCGGGAAAAATTGGTGTCTGGGGGTCACGGAGGTCGGGTGCCTCATCCCCACTCCTTCTGCCTTGTCATCAGGCGTGGAAGTTGGGTCTGTTCCTGCAGAGTTCCTCGCTGCCAGTTTGCATGATGCAGTCACTAACTTAACAACCGTCGAGCTCGAGTGCGCCTTAACATGCTGGTCAGGTTGTGGAGAGGTTCTGTAATTTTAATGAGCGTTGCATAACCCAAAGTAGTTCTATTTTGGTGGAAGTGGTGTTCTCTGCATGAACTTGTGCCTGCAGAAGTAACGTTCTTTGGTGCATGATGCTACAAAATGGGAAAGCTAAAGACAGCGTCATCCTTCTTATAGAGATATCTGTGTGTATATAACCTTTCCTTCTTCTCTGGAAGTTATTATTCTCCTTGCTAATCGCTGTGTTTAAGGGGGTGGTATGCTGGTAGGAGACCCATGCAGAAAAGAAACTGGAGGAGCACATCAGGTAAATGCAGGTGGTGCAGCAGGGGCTCTTCCATTTCCTTCTGCTGCTGCTCAGTGAGTGGCAACACAGCAGCAATGTCTGAGCTGAGTCCCCATGTGGAGTTTGAGGGGTGTGGATTGCCTTGGGCTGCATCAGAGGATGAGTGAGTGCATGCATCACTTGAACGCAAGTCAGAAGTGGAAATCAGGGAAAGGAAAGTGTTGGGATCCAAGACCATGAACATATGTGCTTCTTTGCTGGATAGAGAAGGAGTTGAAGAGAGCCAAGAGATGGCATGGTAGTCCAAATGTTCATGAGATTGATTGGGCCATGGGCTGTCCTTGCTGATGGGGCCAAGGGTTGGACTTGCTGATTGGGTCAGGGATTGTAGTCAGCAGTGGGGCCATGGGCTGTGGTTGCTGATGGGGTCATGGGTTGTACTCACCAGTGGGGTCATAGGCTGTGGGTGATGGTGGGGTCAGGGATTGTACTCAGCAGTGGGGCCATGGGTTGTGCTTGATGGTGGGGCCATGGGTTGTGGTTGGTGATGGAGCCAAGGGTTGTACTTGCCAGTGGGGCCATGGGTTGTACTTGCTGGTGAGGTCAGGGCTTGTAGCCACCAATGGGGCCATGAGCTGTGGTTGATGAAGAGCTCTGGGTTGTACTTTGGTAGTACTTGCCTTCTATCTGCTTCATTCTCCTGTTAAGATGACGCTCAGCAGACCGTGGCCAGCACTTTGTGTGTGTTAGGTGGGACTGTGAAGCTTATACTTGGCAACATCTAATAGAGAATCATGGAATAACATATCCTGAGTTGGACCATCTGCACACGGGAGCTGCTTTGTTGCCCCAGGGGGCAGTCAGTGATGCGTGATCAGAATAATGTGGATATTTTGGACAATCTTCTGCTGAGGTTTGGTAACTGAAATCTCTTCAGAGGCAGGCTGAAGTCTCACACTGTGTTCTAGAATAACAGGACGGCGCTCCAAAATGCATCAGCTCCTGCATGAACTGCTAAAATAGGCCTGGGCCCGGTGATACGGCTCCCTGGGGAGCCATGGCAACAGTGATGCTGCAGATTTCTTGCTGACGAGGTTGTGTGTCTTGGATAAACTTTCCCTGCAAACTTCTGTGGTTTTTTTTTAATTATTATTTTCTAATTTCAACAGCAGTTTAAAGTTAGGAAACATCAGGAAGTAGCTCTGTTCGTGCAATTTGAATTTGATCTTTTGTGCATCTTTTGTATTTGTTTCAGCTTCTCATTTTTGTTGTTGCCAACGTAAGAGCTGCCCCAGATTCTTCAGCAAAAGTTTCGTGCCCTTGGATGCTGGGGGCAGCTGATGATCAGAGTTCAATGCTTCCACAGTCACCCCTCATCCCTACAGAGGCTGCAGTCCTCCTGTGGGACCCCACGCTGTAATTGGGTTTGTCCTAACGAGGAACGGAACGCTGGGCTGCCACCACTGGGATGTGTCCCCTAACAACAGAGCTGTTCTGTAAGGATGCTTTCTTAACAATCAGAATAACATCACAGCACATTAATGAAGCCATGGGCTGTACTCACCAGTGGGGCCATGGGCTGAAGTTGCCTGTGGGGCCGTGAGCTGTGCTTGATGATCTGCTGATTATCCCAGATAGGTTAGGAGGTGGAAGGCAGACAGTGGCACCAGCCAGTTCTCCTGTCAGCACTGTGTTTATGAAGCAACAAGAGCACTTGGCTCTTATCTCCTTTTCCTCCAAAAAGCAGCAGTGTTTATTCAGTCCTGCTTCATGGAGGTATCAGTTCCAGTGTTAATTCAGAGGTGAGTATAGAGGCAGTGTAGTGGGCTGCTAGGTACCCAGAGGCCCCTCTGTGTGGTGTTTCTCAGTTCGTAGCTCCAAAGGTGTTCCTGTGAGGATGTGCTCCTATAAGGTTGTGTCCCTGCAGACACCCAAGGTCAGAGGGTGGGCTGTGAGCACTGATGGAGCTGTGGGTGTCCCTGTGCATTGCCTGGAGTGGGACCAGATGGAAGGGTCCCTTCCAACCCAAACCATTCAATGCTTCTGTATGCAAGCTCCAAAGTAAACTGCAGTTGCATGGATGATCTTGGGGGGTCGAAACTCATTGTGGTCCTTTTCAACCCAGGCCATTCTGTGATGCTTGAAGACCCCTCCCAGCCTCACTGTCCTGTTCTGTTCCAGCTGGGATTTGGGCTGTGGACAACCTGTCCTGTAAGCAGTCAGCCTGTGCTGAGCGTGGCTCCATGCCTCGTGGTTCAGAGCTATGATGGCTGGATGCTGAGCGTTCTGCTTCGCCTTTGTATCTCCCAGACAGGTTTCTTGGGGGATAAATGAGGGGTGTGAGCACCTTAGCACCCTGCAGGTCCTGTCTGCATGGTGAGGGTGTGGGAGTCCCAGCGGGTGTGTGAGCTCACGGCCCTGCAATGTGCCTGGCGGCGGAGTGTGAGGGATGGGTCTGGTCAGCCTGATCACCAGCTGTTATTGGTAACGATGCTTAATTAGAGACGATGTTGGTTGGAGACGCTGGCGAGGAGGAGCTCATCCTGGAAAGCGATGTTGCCTTAGAAACCGGCGCAAAGGACTGCACAGAAATGATTGTGTTAGATTAAAAAAAAAAAAAGAAAGCAGCGAAGGCATTAGGAGGGATCAGTAATAGCTTCAGGAGTGCAGCAAAAATAGAAACGCTGTGCTGATCCATCTGCCGGGGCTGGGAGCCGCGGGGCGGGCGCTGCCATCACTGCTCCCAGCCGTGAGTGCGGCTGCACCGCGACCTCCGGAGCGGTGGGAGGCCTTTGGTGGGACGTGGGACGTCTTCCTTGCGGAGTCCTTCCCACAGGGAGGGCGTCAGCGCGTGTGGGACCCGGCAGGGCGCAGGAGCTGCACTGAGGCCTGCCGACTCCTCAGAGCTCCCACCGTGGGTTGCGCCGCCATTTTGTGTCGAATCCTCAACAAGGAAGGTGGTGGAGAGCCATGTGGGTGGGGAAATCCCAGATCTGGTGTTTGAAGAGTAGTAACCCTGCCTTAAAGGGTGAGAAAGCAGTGGTGGGTTTCCTGTCCAGCAGTCTAACACCCTGCTGGTCCAGCAGATCTTAGCACGAGTCCTTCCCCGTATGAGGTGGTTCTTTCTAAAGCCCTCCACGTCCTCTTGTCTGGCCATCCCCCCTCCTTTCCTGCTTATCTTCCATTGCCCAGCACTGTTTCTGCTATAATGATTAAGAAAACAAAAACTTTGCAAGACTTTTTAGGAAGAATGGGGACCAAAGCTCTGGAATGGGGCTGCTGGCCCTGCGCTGCGTGCGTTGGCCAACTGGTCCTTGCTCAAAGCTGAGCACTGAGAAGGGAGGTGGTGGGGTCACCGAACAAAGACAGGCTGAGGGAGCTGGGCTTGTTCAGCATGGAGAACAGAAGGCTGCAGCCTTCAGGACCCAAAGGGAGCCTACAGACAGCAGGGGAGTCAGCTCTTGGGAAGGGGAGATAACAGCAGGACAAGGGGAAATGGTTGGAAGTTGAGGAAGAACAGATTTCAGCTGGATATGAGGGGGAAGTTGTTTGCTGTGAGAGTGGTGAGGTGCTGGAACAGCTGCCCAGAGAGGCTGTGGATGCCCCGTCCATCCCTGAGGTGTTCAAGGCCAGGTTGGATGGGGCCCTGGGCAGCCTGGGCTGCTGTGAAATGTGGAGGTTGGTGGCCCTGCATTGGTGGGGGGTTGGAGCTTCGTGA